TGTGATGATATCAGCAGGTACACACAAGTGTGTATGACACCAGACAGCTACACACAACTGTGTATGTGATGATATCAGCAGGTACACACAACTGTGTATGTGATGATATCAGCAGATACACACAACTGTGTATGACACCAGACAGGTACACACAACTGTGTATCCGATGATATCAGCAGGTACACACAACTGTATGACATTAGACAGGTACACACAATTGTGTATGACAGCAGACAGGTACACACAACTGTGTATGACATCACGAAGGTACACACAACTGTGTATGACACCAGACAGCTACACACAACTGTATATGACATCATTCAGGTACACACAACTGTGTATGACAGCAGACAGGTACACACAACTATTTATGATGAAGTTTTACACAGGCAGCATAATGCAATGCACTGTTAGGGTTCAAGTAATTTAAACTGTAATCTGAAACTGATACATACTATTTCACGCAGTATTAGAAATTATTATTTGTTTTAATTCAAATAATGTTTTTACTGTGTATCTGTGTTGACAAAATAGCTTGATTCTGAAAATGATATAGGACTGCAGTGTGAGAGTAGGTCAGAAGGTTGACATACAGCTGTTATGGAGTGTTTACGCCAGAAGTTGGGAGTCAGAGGGCTACGCTTTTAAATATTCACTCTACCTGAGGGATTGAGGTTGTAAATAGACTTTAGTCCAATGTATGCTGTCCCACAAGCAACACTTTATTACTCTGTTTTAGTTGTGTTTTTTTGTCCAGATTGGGACTAAATCTGATGGGCTACCATACTGAGAAGTATGATTTTTTGGTAGATGTATTTATTTTTGATTATTTCCCCCAATGTATAGATTAGATAAATCAGTGGTGAATGGCGCCATGGTATTTATCACAATATCATAGAGATATTATACGCTGAGTAATGTGTAGAGCCACAAGGACTTGAATGAAATAATGCAGTTATCTGGTGTCTGTGAAACTGTAGTTATCTGGTGTCTGTGAAACTGTAGTTATCTGGTGTCTGTGAAACTGTAGTTATCTGGTGTTAGTTATGTGGTGTCGGTGAAACTGTAGTTAACTGGTGTCTGTGAAAAAGTAGTCATGTGGTGTCGGTGAAACTGTAGTTATCAGGTGTCTGTGAAACTGTAGTTATCTGGTGTCTGTGAAACTGTAGTTATCAGCTATCTGTGAAACTGTAGTTATCAGATGTCTGTGAAACTGTAGTTAACTGGTGTCTGTGAAAAAGTAGTCATGTGGTGTCGGTGAAACTGTAGTTATCAGGTGTCTGTGAAACTGTAGTTATCTGGTGTCTGTGAAACTGTAGTTATCAGCTATCTGTGAAACTGTAGTTATCAGATGTCTGTGAAACTGTAGTTATCTGGTGTCTGTGAAACTGTAGTTATCAGGTGTCTGTGAAACTGTAGTTATCTGGTGTCTGTGAAACTGTAGTTATCAGGTGTCTGTGAAACTGTAGTTATCTGGTGTCTGTGAAACTGTAGTTATCAGGTGTCTGTGAAACTGTAGTTATCTGGTGTCTGTGAAACTGTAGTTATGTAGTGTCTGTGAAACTGTAGTTATGTGGTGTCTGTGAAACTGTAGTTATGTGGTGTCTGTGAAACTGTAGTTATGTGGTGTGAAACATATGGCATCACTGTATCCATCCACTTATGTGTCGTAGGAGACCCTCTCCCAAAAGGGCTTCACTCAGATATTGATCCCTGAATGGAAATACAATGATATCCAGCAAGACGGGGCAACATTGGCAGCTCGTAACACACTGCGGTAGTAAATGTAGTAATTGCACTGGAATGCTGATGGAGTTGATGCTGTAGAGGATGTAGCTGTGTTGGATGTAGTGGACCAAGATTGCATCACACAGATCCTGTACCTAGATATGTGCCGTGCTCTGTCCTCAACAACTCTGTGATGTGCCGACAGCTGACTGTTATATCAGGTTGTTGGACACTGTACAGTGAGAAGTGCCGAGGGATACTGTCAATCTTCTATATGTCAAGGTCATCATTGATGTCATCTACAGGTGACCTTGATGGTTCAAGGACGACGTCTAGAATCATAGCTCAGGTTGTGTGAAACAGGAGAACAAAAATAGAAACTTTTCATCAGTTCCTTGAGTGTTAATGTCTGTTTTACATATGAGGTTTCCAGATCTCTGACTGAGTGTAAACTGGGAACATGTGCTGTTGGAAATGATCATGAAAGTGTTATGTCACACAATTATGTTATAAGTCATGGAGCGGATACTTTGATTCAATCAAGATGTTGTCTTGGACATAACACTTATGATGGACAGTCATACATAAAATCTGGGATAATTAACATTCTTTTAATAACACTAACAACTTAATGATGCTATTCAATTGTTGTTTGTGCACATGAACCACGTCTTCTTGCAACCCCTAACAACCATTTTTTGTTGTTGATCAGAGAACAGTAGCACATTTATGGAGTGACTATTTCAGTCTGGCTGGTGCTGCCACAATGTCTGGTATTCCAGCCGAGTTGCCACTCACTCAGGGATACATGTACTACCACATCCCTGTGTACCTAGAACTGGGAGAATCTCCCAGGCTTGCAGCACTAGCACATACTCAAGTTGTACCGTGCTGGACTTCTTCTCTGCATATTTGCTTGTGCTGAGCTTGAGTTGTCACGTTGTTTGTGTGTGGCTAGCAGTCTGGTGCATGTGGCTATTAGGAACCCAATGTGAAGTGCATACATCATCTGTGTGAGATCCTGCACTACACTGCCACACACTACGGGTCATTATCACTGATCATCACTGGTCATCACTGGACATCATCACTGGTCATCACTGGTCATCAACATCAGTCATCATCACTGGCTGGTCATCATCACTGATATCATAACTGGACTTTATGCAGTGGATATGAGTGTCAACTGGATATAACTTACATATTCAACAGACTGGATAAAACAGATTATAGATTGGATATAACACACATTTTTCAGTGGACATAGCATTTACTGGATTTAACTCATTGTACTGTGCAAAGGACAGTTATTACGGTGGATATACGTCTTGACAACATACTTATATAACTTATGTGTTTTCAGTGGATATAACACCCATATTGTACAGCAGACGGAACATACATACTGGCCACTGGATATAACATACTGGCCACTGGACTTTACATACATACTGTACATTGGATATAACATACATAGCTGGCCAGTGCATATAACATTTATTCAATATAGTGGATAAGGTGATACTACATACGAAAGTGTGATTGGATACCAACATCTGTCACCATGACGATATGGTCTCTATGTTGTGGCCTGGTGCCGGAGCCAGCCGAGGAGGTAGATATCAGAACAATTATAATTACACTCCACTGAAATATCTTTACTGAGTCATCTTGTGTTTGACTACTGGGGTTCCAGGTTGTTGGACCATGCTTGTACATCAGCAGCAGCTGTAGCTTGAGGGGACTGTGCCATACAGTGATCTTAGCCCTAAGTCTATGAAAAAGTATCAATCTCATTAAAATCAGATCCTAGTTCTTATTATCGCTAAACAAAGATCTGAGGACATCCCATTACGGGTCACGTCAGACCGACCTTGTGCGACCAATGGAATGACCAATTAAAAGGCAGTTTTCTCGTGCTTTACAGCACTAATTTCAAATTGGCGTCTACGCTCCGTAACATATTTTGACAAATTCTCGATTACAAATTTGAAACCTAAACAAAAGACCATTCTGGAATGGCTAATAGATGGTCTAGATTGTATGGATTCAGTCATTAAACCCGTAACTATCGTTCGGAATACCCAGTGTTAAAGTTTTGAGGTTGTATGATTAGAAATCACATTCCGACTGTCACTTTCATGATCTGGTAAGCGATGCTCTGATTGGTCTGATGAGAGGTCGTTCTGACGTGACGCCTAATGGGATGTCTTCAGATCTTTGATTTGGGGGAGGGAGAACTAAGGTCTGATTTTAATGAGATTGTGTCTTCCCGGAGCCTGGCAAAAACTATTTAGATACACATGTAAACAATCTGGTGATGCATATACTGAAGTTGACTGAAGCTTTATCTGTATTCAAATATATTTAAGTCAGAAAGAATGTGTGCATTGTCAGAAAGAAATGCGAACATTAATTATGTTTAGTGTAACAATGGAGTTATAGTGAATTTTTGTCATTAAACATTATATCAGGTGACTAACCATGGGTCCAGGTAGTCCTGTGGGTTCCTGGGCTCTACTCAGTACCCCCCCAACCCGAGTTACCCGTCCCAGCCCAAGAGCTATGATAGTTTGTTGGAAAAGAGTCCAGGTAGTCAGGGTAACAACATGCTACTATAGCATGGGTCAGTGTTCAGTGGGTTACCCTAACCTCCAGATCTGATAACATGGTGCAGGCTCACATCACGTGGCTGTGATATTGCTGACAATGCTATGCCTGTGAAATTGATGTTGATGATACATCATAGTGATCACAGTTTTTTCTGGTCCAGCTTGATTTTTTACGGTCCACCATCATGTTGCTAAATATTGCTGAATGAGGCATTTAACAGCAAATAAAATATATATACTTCTCAAAAGAAGTTAAAGAACACCTGTTTTTTTTCATGTTTCAATGTGCATGTCACTTATGTCTGTATCCTACATCTATATGTAGACCCGTGAAGATTCCAGGGAAGAATAGGTCTTCAGCAACCCATGCTTGCCATAAAAGGTGACTATGCTTGTCGTAAAAGGCAACTAACGGGATCGGGTGGTCAGGCTCGCTGACTTGGTTGATGCATGTCATCGATCCCAATTGCGTGGATCGATGCTCATGATATTAATCACTGTATTGTCTGGTCCAGACTCGATTATTTACAGGCCGCCGTCATATAGCTGGAATATTGCTGAGTGCGGCGTTAAACAACAAACCAACATCTATATGTATCCTTGTATAAAACTGAATCATTAACTGAAATAACTGACAAATCTGTTTCACTGTTTCAGGCTGTGCCACCCAAGACTGGAGGTAGGTGATATATGTTATATCTTGCAGCTTCTCTGAGTGTTATATCTGCTATATCCTTTGTGTGTTGTATCTGTTATAGCCTCTGTGTTATATCTGTTATAGCCTCTGTGTGATAAAAATATCGACTAGTCACTAACATACAGTACAAGCACATTTACCTTTCCAAAATTAGGACACTAATTTAATATGGAGATAATATGCCAATAAGAATTACACTAGTTCTGCTGGATGGTAAGAAGCATTAAGTACAAGCCTTTGTAGGCTGCATTGTGCTGACATGGTACAACATCTCCATCATTTGTATCATGTATCACTTCATCACAGCTGATACCCGTGAAGATAGGGGTTAGTATAGGTCTTCAGTAACCCCTGCTTGCCCTAAGAGGTGACAATGCTTTTCAAAAGAGGTGAGTAACATGATCAGATGATCAGGCTTGCTGACTTGGTTGATGCATGTCATTGATGCTCATGATGTCAATCACTGGATTGTCTGGTCCATACTCGATTATTTACAGACCGCCATCAGATAGCTGGAATATTGCTGAGTGTGGCGATAAACAACACAGAAATAAATGATGGTGTGAGTTACAGTCTAGTGTACCATAATGACAGTGATTGAGTCATAGACTGTGTGGACACTCATCCACCCTGCTGATGGAGTTTAGGGTCGCGTTGCAAGCCACGAATCGCTTAGAGAAAGCAAATTTATCGCTCAACCCGGGGTCTGCAACAGTTCGAAGCGTTTGCGCACTCTTCCAAAATGGCGGCGCAACTACCAGTTGGTTGCCTTGATGTTTGTTTGTTTGTTTGTTGTTTAACGCCGCTCTCAGCAATCTTCCAGCTATATGACGGAGGATTGTAAATAATCGAGTCTGGACCAGACAATCGAGTGATTGACATCATGAGCATCTATCCACGTAATTGGGATACGATGACATGCATCAACCAAGTCAGCGAGCCTGACCATCCACGTAATGAAGAACGTAATAGAAGAGGCCCGATGACGAGCTGATGAATTTTATGACTACTTTGAAGATGTGGAGCAGACTGAGGATGATGGTGTGTTAGCTGCCTTTGCTCATTTTCTCGTTGATCCAGTCAAGAATTCCTTGTTCCGCTGTCAAAGTAAGCCGCCATTTTGGTTTGAGAACGATGCGACCTCAGCCAGCGATTGTTTCGCTTGCAAGCTGCTGAAAGTTAGCGCACTGTTGTAAGGCGAATCGCTGTACATTGCTTACAAGCGATTGGCGCTTTGCAACACACCCATGGTAAGACTGAGGGTGGTGGATAGAGTAACATGGTGTAACATAGTGTAACATGCTGTAACATTGTGCCAGAACAAGACTACACACACATGCTATAACATGCTGTATACACATTCCAGCAGTAATATAAACATATATATAACCCAAGTGTGTCCATCATGCTCCGTGTACATGTGCTACTTTATGCAACTACTTCCAACAAGTGGCTACACATGGTGTGTAACATTGTGCCAGAACAAGACAATCTACACACATATGCTATAACATGCTGTATACACATTCCAGCAGTAATATAAACATATATATAACCCAAGTGTGTCCATCATGCTCCGTGTACATGTGCTACTTCATGCAACTACTTCCAACAAGTGGCTACACATGGTGTGATAGCTGCTGAAACATTGCTCCATGTGGACCATGGTATGACAGATAACGACTGTATGATCTGCCTCCTGGGATGAGGATGAGGGGCCCTGTGCTGACTACATGTTTGTATTGATGATAACAACGGGAATTGTATTGATGATAACTGCAATGAGAATGTAACAAAGTGTAAATTTGGAGTAACACTTTCATTGTAAAGTACGGATTCTAGTACTTTTTGGGGTTGAGTCCCATATGTGATTAGAACCCACACTGCCCAAGTGAGGCACCTAATCGCCAGCACACAAAGTCAGCGATCTAACCCACTCCACAAAAATGAAAGTCTGACAACTGGTAGTGTAGATCACATACTTTTGGTGCCCTTCTGACAAGAGTAAATTGGCATAGCTCCCATTGCCAAAAGCTATGATCACATGATGCCATTTAAAAAGTGATCAAATGTAACAAATGTTATATCTGGGATAACACTTTCTTTGTAAAGTGCAGATTCTAGTACTTTTTAGGGTTGAGTCCCATGATAACTGGAGGAATTGTATTGATAACGGGAAACTATATTGATGATAACAGGAGGAATTGTATTGATAATGGGGAACTGTATTGATGATAACAGGAGGAATTGTATTGATAACGGGGAAATGTATTGATGATAACAGGAGGAATTGTATTGATAACGGGAAAGTATATTGATGATAACAGGAAGAATTGTATTGATAATGGGGAACTGTATTGATGATAACAGGAGGAATTGTATTGATAACGGGGAAATGTATGGATTACAGGAGAAACTTATTTAATAACAGGAAAATGTACTAATGATAACAAGAGAAATTGTATTGATAACATGGGCTTGGAATGATGATTGCATCAACTTTGTTTTGATGATAACAGGAGGAATTGTATTGATAACGGGGAATTGTATGGATAACAGGAGAAACTTATTTGATAACAGGAAAATGGACTAATGATAACAAGAGAAATTGTATTGATAACATGGGCTTGTAATGATGATTGCATCAACTTTGTTTTGATGATAACAGTCAGGGAGAATTAGAGGTTAACAAGGATCTCCATCTTTAGACAGCCATTTTTCTTGGTGCACACAAGCTTTCAACAAGGCTATTAAAGCTGTTGAGCTACATTAGGTTATTTTTACACTACAAGGCTTTGCTAGGCATGACAGTGAGAAAAGAAACAGATCTTAAGAGTTTTGTTTCTTGTCACATATATATGTTCTAGATTTACCAAGGAACAAACTAACACAGGTGTGTGATAATGTTACTGCCAATCACTCAGTGTCAGTAGGATATTGATGACACAGAAACAATGGGCAGCTGCCACTGTGGGAGATAATGGCCACATATTATACATGGTTTTGGCAACAGATGAGGGAGTCAGTAGTGATCTAGTCCAGCAGTAAGTTCAGCAGTAATATTGCCTCACTGGACAACCTACTTTGTCAGCAGGATCAGGAGAGGGTACTTGCTGTAGATGATATTAACAGGGCCCCAGTGCAGCAGTGAATGTGATCAGCTGTTATGTATTGTCTTGTCAAAAAGATATTTTGAACCAACCATACATTCCTTCTGAAACAGACTTCTCGTCTGTCTCACAGTTCCTGAGCCATATGATTTCCCTCTCAGCCAGCCCTTATTGCAAGTCTGAAGCAAGTCTAGATTTTCCTTTCTTTCTTAATTCAAAGAACTGCATTTGAGATATTATCAATTAACACTTTTGCCAAATGAAATACAGATTTAGTATCATTGTAAGATGTACAATCAGATGAGAGACGTGGTATTCAGGCAGATATTGACCATGTGTTCACCAGCTGCACAGTTTCTGTGGGGAATCGTCATGAATATTCAGGAAATGTAACATCTTGGTCAACAATAATAGAAAAGTCTTGAATGGAAAACAAACATTTGTATATATACTCACCACCAAAAGAAACGCAAACTATTGAAACATATGGAGAAGTATGTACACTAAGAAGAGATGTTTCCTCTGTGTACCAATTACGTACAAAACTAACAATCTGTAAAGTGTTACCACAGAGTGTCTTTTTTCTTATCACGATATGATATGATTTCCAAATTTTACACCTATTCCTGCACGAGACAATTGATGCATCTCAAGTCATGGATATATGATGTCACATGTGATGAGTTCATGAGCGTCGGTTCACACCACATACCAGTATGTTCGTTTGTGCATTGATGCAATCTAATATCTCTTGAATATGAGTGACTCTTCATATTAACCAACATGTATTGTATTCACATTTCTTTTATTGGTGAGTACATATTGTTATTTGCCAAATTTATGTGAGTAGGTATTTTGACAAACCAGATACAGTGGGTTTTTTGTAAAGGAAGTGATCAGTTCTTCTCATCAGTAAATTCATGCAGCATGGCCAGTGTTATACAATTAGTATTAGAGCATTCATGAAGATCCGGGATAGAATAGGTGAAGTGGGGTGAAATTGGGTTTAACGTCACGTCCAAGAATATTGCACTTATATAGTGACGTGTGTGTGTGTCTGTGTGCTTGTACTAGTCCGGACCGATGCTGATTTATAGTGCTAGCTCACTGAGATACCATGCCGCAGTTTAACAAGAATACCCCACTCAGACACAGTATACTGACTCCGAGCCGACCAGTCCTTGTTTTAACCCCTTAATGCCGAGCACCAGGGTAACAACAAGTACCATCTTTTAACGGTTTTTTTGTGTGTTGCGACCGGGGATCGAACCCCGGACCTTCTGCTCTCCAGGCAGATGCTCTACCACTAGACCATGGAGGCGGTCTTGGATAGAATAGGTCTTTAGCAAGCCATGCTTGTTGTAAGAAGTGACTAACTGGATCGGGTGTCAGGCTCTCTGACTTGGTTGATGCATGTCATCGATCCCAATTGCGTGGATCAATTATCATGATGTCAATCACTGGATTGTCTGGTCCAGACTCGATTATTTACAGACCGCCTCAATCCAGCTGGAATATTGCTGAGTACAACGTTAAACAACAAACAAACAAATTGGCATTAATATATGAATATTCCTATGATGGTTGAATGCTTCGAATGCCAGTGGATGAAATCCTCTTCCCACTGCTGCGTTCTTCTGTGATGTTCATTCAGTAATGCAGGCTTGAAAATCAATTTCCTAGGGTCAAGCATATTTCATTTCTGAGATCACAGACGTATTCAGGGGCAACCAGACAGCCACGGGCAAGAAATAAAGTAGAAATAAAATCTCCATCCAGCTGTTGGGGTTAAATCAATACTTGCCATGTCATTGTATTATTCTGGACCAGAGATTTTGCAGACAGTATTCCATGTGACTAGCCTATGGATGC